ACGCTAAAGCTCCTTAATCAATTTTATTACAATTCTGTCATAATTATTCAAACTTATGAATGATTTACAACCCCAGATATATAAATTATTTAAGATAATACATATTGACAGAGAGAAACACGACGGTCAGAATCAGATACCGGATGACGATCTAAATCAATGCCACTTTTCTCTGCGTTTATAGAATTTTAAGGGATGAAATAAAAACTTGCTTCGTGTACAGAGGTACTGCCGAAAGTGGAAGAAAAGAAGATAAATGCATCAGCTGGTTTCTTTATTTCTTCATCATAAAAAAAGTACATTATTTCCATACCAGCGTAGCTTCATCTTTAAATAAAGACAGACGAATAAAGTGCATTAAAATGCGATCATTATATTCGAATGCAAACAACAGACCTATAGGTGGTTAGAGCCTATACTTACTGTACTCTTTATGCTACTATTAAACTTCTACTTTCATCTTTAAAAAAAGCCAAGTATAAAAATAAATAAAAGCATTATTTTAATGCATACTGGTACATTACGACACGTCACTACTACATGTAGTACAATTATAATGCATTCTGATATGCTACGACTTGTAACTATATAATCCTAATATTTACGCTACCACTCTCATATAAACTACTACTACTCTTGTGCATACTGCTTTTCATAATCTGCTCACAATCATAGATTTCTGAAAGAACAAGCCTTTGAGGCATGTCATTCAGCCCCCCCCCTCCCACCTCCTTCTGTGGCCCAACTCTTGGGGTCCTAATTTAGGCGTACATTTCTTGTACATCAGGTCCTATTGAATTGATTAATTTTTTTTTTTTTTTTTTTTAACGTTACAAACAAATCTTTGGCGTATGTTTATTCAAATCTTACAATAAACAAATATAAATTTTTCAGAAAGATTTGGTTTGATGAGGTTTTCATTTATTTTTATTATTTTATTTTATTTTATTTTATTTTGTCTTTTTTGTTTCTTTTATTTCTTTCATTTTTATTTATTTTTATTTTTTTATTTATTTATTTTTTTTTTGCTTTTTTTCTTTAATTATTTATCTATTGCATAATATAGCAAGATTGTTTTACTGCCCAATGCCTTGTATTAAGTTACTCTCAATGCACAGCATACAGTATACTGGACTTCAGCAAGTTAGTTTCAGTCTTTCAAAACATAATTTCAGTTCTAAATTGCTGAAACAAAGCTGTCTTTACAGCATGTTTATGTTGATACCAGGGAAAACACAAAATTTTCCAATTTAAACAATGTCATTTCTTGATTCCCTGTCTAATTTCTTAATGTGTTTGTAGAACACAATATGAAATACATCGATCTTAACAAAATGTCGTAGATGTAGATAATCTACAATAATGTCAATATCAGAGAAAGATTTAGCCATATTTCACTAAATACGAAAATATAAAAACCCGTCTTCATATTACTACAGTCTTACCACGAACTGGTTTTACTGGTAGTAAAATATTACAAATTATACGACCAAATATACACATGTCACGGTCATCGTATTTTCTTTTACAGATTCCTGTCTAAATGTCTATAATTATATTTCAATTAGAGAAAACGCCTTTGCGCTTTTCTTTTTTTTTCTTTCTTTCTTTAGCGTGTCTAGCGCAAGTACATATTGTTTCTTTTACAAATTACTGTCTAAAATGTCTATAATCATATTTCAATTAGATAAAACGACCTTGTGCTTTTCTTTTTTTTTTTCTTTCTTTAGCGTCCCTAGCGCGAGTACATATTTTTTATTTTACAAATTACTGTCTAAAATGTCTATAATTATATTTCAATTAGATAGAACGACTTTGCGCTTTTCTTTTCTTTTTTCTTTAGCTTGCCTAGCGCAAGTACATATTGTTAGTTTTCTGGCAGTAGAGCACAGCTGTAAGGACCTCTTTCTGCATATATCCAAGGATAGGCACCGCGCTGTAACCAGTGTTTGTAGTCAACTAGATGTACTTTTTCGTTAAGTTTCATATTGAACATATGGATATGACTACACATCAATAAATATATAATGGATTACTTAACTATGAATTTTGTGCTCAAAAAATATTTTCAAAAATGAATAACTATAATAGTAATAATTGTAAACTCCAATATGAACATAATTTTGAATTTTCAATGCAACATACTAGTGTTTAAAATACCTGACGTGAAAAAAAAAAGTATTACATTGAAGACTTCTCAGAAGGAAATCCACTATTAACAAATGGGGCATGTATGGTCACATGCACCACTGTGATTAAATAAGATTGAGTGAAGAAAAATAAAAAATTGTTCACAAAATAAAAAAGGTTTTCATATAACCTGAACTTCTGTTATACTACTAAAAATCGATTAATTTAAATCTTCAAATAAAACGAACTAAGTTAACGCAATTAACTCTCTTTTCGATATTTTGTTTTTATGAAAAAAATAAGAATATTCCTGTTCGCCAAAAAACAATTCAATGTGCCAGTAGGCGTTAACAACCGATTTTTAATTTTTTTTTTTTTATATTTAAATGTAAATAAAGAGAAATTTAAGTTGATGAGTATGGCCTAAACTATTGCGACTGTACAAACTGAATTCCGGAAGAGGAGGACACAGCCGGAATTAGCAGAGGAGATGGAACGTACTTCACTCGCTGCTGTTGTCAGCCTCCTTCACATAGATTACCTTCACCTTTTCGTCTACAATCTTCTCCGTTCCATTCCCAAAATCCAAGAAATTCAGCACGATGCTGCTGGCCCCTCTTGGTTTCAAGCAGGCACCACCCTCGGCATTGATGGAACTGTCGGAGGTGGCACCAGACGGCCCTGTTATCGCTTCTGTCAAGACAAGCTTGGACAGACGTTTGTCTTGTAACTCCACGGAGCAATCTGAAGGGACGATGTAGTTCAATCTGCTTGAGCGCTGAGCTTGCTTTGGTCCAATGGAGGGCTCGACCTGTAAAATGTGGCTTGATACTGAGGTTGATCTGTATATAACTCTCCTTGATTCTTATTATGGACAAGGTTATAACTGTGGAAAACGTTGCACACCCAGTGCAATCCCAGAAATGGAATATGATAAATTCCAAGCTTCACAAATCCATAAGTAAATGTAATAAACAGAAAATGCAGTCTTTTTGATAAATAAAACACGTGTTACACATATCGCAAATAGAATATAGCAAAGAGATTCCTCTGCCTTACCTTGGAAGCACAACAGCAGAATATTGCCTTGAAGGTTTGCCATCTTGATTTTGGTTTCTTTTCTTCGCTATTCTTTTCCTCAAAAGAGTGCAATTCCTCCATCGTTTTCATATAAGCTGCTCTTTCACTAGAAGTTGTGGAGTCAGACCTTTGGAAAATAAAAGGTAATGGCAAAAGGTGTAATAAATCTAGGAAGGGAACCAGTTTGTATTTTAATTTACATACACTGTATTTGTAATAGTATTACCATCTTATGCCAAAGGACGTCGGGAATGATAGTAGGCCCTATATCAATACCAGTTAAATATAGATAGGATTGTTCTCGGTCTCTCAATTTAGAGAATATTAATCTGAAAGCTAGTGCATATTCATATAAGTTTCATATAAGTGGGTTGTTTATCTAAGAAGGTCTGATCATTTTTCTCGGGGAAATAATCATAATAAAGAGTAAAACAGGCTGCACGATAAAATAAGCTGCTTGAAATCTCACCCCTTAGATGCCGTGTCCTCGTTGACGGCACTCTCGGCGTCACTGTCCTTGGTCTAAATGAAAATGAGATTGAAAGAAGGAATCAGTTTATTAAAAATGAAATTGGAAAAGTATTTGAAAAGCAAAACGGAATATTCTAACTCAGACATAAAAGTGTGATTCAAACGGAATGAGCTGTTTGTTTTCCATAACAGCGCATTTTCCATATTCCACACGGAAATAATGCTCACATAGTTATCATTGGTTTTTAAATTGATTCCTGTACCTTTTTCTCTGGGCTCGGCTTCTCACTTGCGTCAGCTCCTGGAACAGCAGCCTGCTCCGAAGTTGTTCTCACTGAAATTCTTCCACTGCGTCGTCGGATGTTACTTACAGCACGCGCAGCGGATTGTCTCACGCGTATTCGAATACGTCCAAATCGGCCTACGCCCGATTCTACTTCATCCATACTAAATTAAGCTAAATAATATCACCACTTGAGATGCTATACGTCTGCAACCTGAAGTTGTGTTATTGTAACTAACGTTACGGCAACCGCGGCGGTGCGTGACGTCGTTGACTCTTATGACGTCATAAGATAAAGCGACATGAGCAATGTGTTGCATTGTTGGAAACGATCTATTTTGAAGAGAAAATATTAAAAACAACCATTAACGTGTATCAGCACGAAGGAAATATTTCTATTTAAGAAATATATGGAAAATTAAAACCACTTTTGCTATAAATTATTACCAGTAGGTAACAGATAAAAAATATTTTCCTAAGGAAACATACGGTTGACACACACAAACACATTTTATCCTCCATCCTCTCTCTCTCTCTCTCTCTCTCTCTCTCTCTCTTGACCTTGAATATCAAATTATATATTGGCCTAGTTCCTGTTAATTTCTACAAACATTAGTTTCATGGTGCGATGTGCCTTATTCTCTCTAAGAATTCTTACATTCAGTTTATTTTTAAAATAATATGTTTTCATTATAATCACTGTATTAAGGAGTGCTAAAACCACATTTTTAGGCCTATAGGGCCTAATTATTTAGCCTACATATAGGGGCCTATCATTACATATCATTACATATCATTACATATAATTATTACATGAATGTATGCTAATATGCATGGATAAACATGCCAAGTGTTAGATGTAGAGACACAGATTGCGATAATAACTTTAATTTAAAGTAGGTGCAGTCTGCACTGAAGTAGTTCATATCATGGGAGTGCATCTATTGTTTAGTGTTGTTGGTTGTGTTATATTTAGTTCAGTCATGTGACTGGAAATCCCCGTTATCGGAATTTTATAAACACTACGCCATCTTGTGCATATCGAAAGGAAAGCAACAAATCCGCTAGTCAGATCATTTTCCCTTTATTTCTCAAAGATGATTTGATATAACATCTAATTGCTCTGAGGTATAGAGAGTGCGTATATCTACACGTTTACTACTGTACGTTGTACAGCATGGCAACAGGATTAGGCCTACTGCCGAGTGATCAACTGATTGTTTGACTCGACGTGTGGACTTTCACAGGTAGAGTAGAGCCCTACATCTGTTCGTTTGTTATAACGCCTTACAGTATGTTTTGTAAAACTGTGTTTTTGCTTAAAGAATTCATCTTTAGTGACTGATATGAATTATCACACATTTAAACCCGCTAACTTTAAACCTGATCTTTAAACCTGATCTTTTCAAGCGGCCCTAATGCTTGTTTCATTTTGTCCTTTTGGGCACGTGACAGACGGTCAACATTAGGAACATAAAATGCAGTCCTTATGCATGTATGATGTGTACTAGTGTAGCACTACTGGTACTTGGCAATTATTCGAGAGCGTTGTATTAATGCTCAGGGGCGGATCCAGGATTATTTGAAGGAGGAGGGGGGTCCACGGATGCGAAGCGGACCGACCCCCCCCCCCCCCACACACACACATGCACACACGCACACACACACATACACACACATACTAGGCGTTGGATGCGGGGCCCGCTGAAGAGCTCCAAAATTTTTTGGTATTTTAGAGGGCGAACGGTGCCATTTGGTACGGTTTAGAACTATGATTCAGCTAGTCAAAATTCTAATTTCAAGATGGGACCAGTAATCGAAGGGGGAGGGGGCTTCAGGACCCCGCTGACCCCCCTACAAATTCGCCACTGATGATCATCCACTATTTATTTATTTATTTATTTATTTATTTATTTATTTAGCCAGGATCTATACAGTCAGTCAGAAATCCAGTCAAGGATGTCTCAGGATCCGACCTGTGTTCTAAGGCTGGGGCAGTATGAGGTCAACTTAATGAAGAAGCTAGGTCAAGGAGGCTTTGGGGTGGTCTTCGCGGGGGTTGATACGAGGAGTAGGATAAAGGTATGTAATTACGCAGGAATTTAGGGTTTTACTTGATTAGGGGCTATGACATAATTAAACTTCCTTCATGTGACATCCATCTGCTTAGTTAGTACTCGCTCATAGGCCTATCTGCATTTTTTTTTTTTTTTTGGGGGGGGGATGATAAATTACAAGAAAAAATTAATTTCGATCATTAATATCGACAATTATGAATAACATATAACAAACGTATTCGTTATTGATAAATTCAGAGAATTCACAGATTTTTGGTATTTTCCATTAGGTTGCAGCAAAGCAGATAGACATAAAGAGAAAGGAAAGACACGGCAGCACCGCGCTTTCCGAAATAAAGGTGTTACAAAAGTTACCCAGTCACCAAAATTTAATTCGGTTCCTCGACTATCACTTCTCTCAAGATTCTTTCTGGATCGTCATGGACTTCTGCAATATGGGAGAGATGAAGGAATACTTCGTTACGCATGCGCCTATTGATTTGGCAACAAAAGTGGATTTCATGCGGCAAATTGCTGCTGCTCTGGTACACTTGCACGAGGCACCACAGCAGATAATACACAGGGATCTTAAACCAAACAACATGTAAGGCAGTGCTTGGGCTTTCCCCCAAATGTGTTCTTTCTTTAAATAAATAATAGATAACATCATGCTTAATCCCAATTAATTAAAAAGGGAACGTATCTGGCGTCAAATTTACGCAAGTAAAATAAAACAAGCATTTGAAATAACATCATTATTCATATTCAGCTGTTTTTTCAACATCATCATAGTCGTCATCAATATCATTATGAATATCACCAGCAGTGTTATTTTATCATATTTTTAAAGAAAACAATTCACTTTTGTTTGCATCATTTCTCTAAACTCTTCGTTGTCACCTTACTTTTGGCCAATATAGCATGGTGTCGTACATCTCAACAGACGATCGGCCCATGATTAAGGTCACCGACTTCGGACTGGCTAAAGTAGCCGAAGAGGACATGACGAAGACCTTCCTTCTCTCCACCGTGGCAGGGGCGGTCTGCTATCTTTCCCCCGAGGAGTTCGCCAGGCAGAAGTACACNATAGATAACATCATGCTTAATCCCAATTAATTAAAAAGGGAACGTATCTGGCGTCAAATTTACGCAAGTAAAATAAAACAAGCATTTGAAATAACATCATTATTCATATTCAGCTGTTTTTTCAACATCATCATACTCGTCATCAATATCATTATGAATATCACCAGCAGTGTTATTTTATCATATTTTTAAAGAAAACAATTCACTTTTGTTTGCATCATTTCTCTAAACTCTTCGTTGTCACCTTACTTTTGGCCAATATAGCATGGTGTCGTACATCTCAACAGACGATCGGCCCATGATTAAGGTCACCGACTTCGGACTGGCTAAAGTAGCCGAAGAGGACATGACGAAGACCTTCCTTCTCTCCACCGTGGCAGGGGCGGTCTGCTATCTTTCCCCCGAGGAGTTCGCCAGGCAGAAGTACACTGTCCTGGTGGATGTGTTTGCGTTGGGTTTGGTGTTTCTAGGAATGATCAACTTTGACGTTCTTGGGGAGTTAATTCCTGTCCCCCCTGGAAGTCAAGGTAAAATAATACAAAAAAAGAAAATCGAACTGTCCGTCCTTTTGGTCAAATATCAGCTCTTAATCTAAATCTGATCTTCGGTTTATGTCAATGGAGTGAAACGTCTACTTTTATTCAGAAATGGGCAGCTCCTTCAAAATTGCTGACACGGTGCTGTTTAATTCCTGTTTTAATGCGTAAATTGTAAAACATTCACCTTCTTTGTTACCTAAAAGATTTCGCTGTAAAATATAATCCATACAATTTGCTACAGATTCAATGTTGGCTACCATGTTGATGCCCATTGGCATGCAGATGCTTCAAGCAGCCATCGGTGGTGGCATCCAGCCAACACTGGTGCAGCATGAGCCAGATGACAGCCCGGAAGTGACGCAGTTGAAGGACCTTATACAGCACATGGCAGTATATAAGGTTGAAGAGAGGTTCACTTCTCGTCAAGTGTACGATACATTGGACAAACTTTACGGTAAAGTAAAGGTGTAGTTTTGATCTTTTTGTCATAACGCAACAGGAATTTCAACTCTGTTGTTAGCACTTTGTTTACTGACCACCTTTTTATGAAAGCGGCAATAATATTCCATTCACGTATCATTTTCAATAGAAAAAAGCACAAGCCACTTAATAGACGTGTAAATGTGACGACGTTACTGACTTTGTCTTGGTGGCGCGAGGTAATAACTAAACAATTCCATGTTTTCCCATATTCTTTATTATCGCTTTCTAACTACGCTATCTACAGTTTATTCCTCTCCGTTCAACCTCTTACATCGTTCTCCCCGTCTACATTACATTCTTCGCTTAAGTACAATAAGTCGTGTCAATCAACTAAAGTGACATTACAAAACACTCCCCGCTCTTATTCGCTGCACGCTGTTACTTACTAACGTTACATAAAAGACCAATCACATTTCAAGTATAAGATGTTTTAAAAATGACCCTTTGAAATTTTATTATCATTCATTCTCTTTCCATTTTTCCTATTTCAGAGGGCATAAAACATAGCCAATCACCTCCACCTGCCCGGCCACCAGATCAGCTTGCAGAGGCAGGTAGTCCAAGACAAGAACCAGGAGCTCGTGCTGCAGAAGCAGCTGCGCATGCGCAAGACTCACCCGAGCGTGGCGCCGCCCAAAGGGACGGACATCGAGACATAGGTTATAAGCTTTTGAAGGAAGCCATGGGACAGTTATTAAGAGATCGCATTCAAGACAGAAGACGCGGAAGAGAGAGGGATAAACATCTGCGAGCTTTGGACAGGGGAATGCCTCTGTTAGAGATGTTACTTGGACATGATGAGAGAGATGACCAACAGGAAGGAAAAGAAAATGAGACAAATGAAAGCGAGGTGTGTTATTATTATTATTACTATTATTATTACACGTACTTCTCTCTTTGGCACTTTGACCCAAGAGCTTCAGTGTATTTATATATTATATTCGTGTATTTTTAAAAGTCCTTGCTCTAACGCAGCTGCGCGCCTTCTTTGCTCTTTTTTATGTTGAAGATATAACTTCTTGCAGATCTATTCTGGTATTTGAAAATCAAAAATTGTTTTCATTCTAATTCCATTGAATGAGTGAGTTTAAATGTCCATTTGACTTCATGTGCCGGTATATCTAAACATTGAAACCCTTTGTGCGTGTGTACTAGATCCAGAATTTCACTAAGACTGGTGGCCGGGTTATACAGAATTTAACACCTAACAATCTACAGTATTCTTATATCCGACAATGCATCCAAATCTCATAAATAAAGAGATATCATAATTTGACAATTAGCGTTTTATATTTTAGTTCAAAGAGGGAGAGACAGTCCAGGTTGTGAAGGTCAGTGTCACCAGAGCTGTGGGGATGCAGGAGAATTATGGAGGCTGGCATAACGAGATGGCACAGGTAGCTATTACCTTTGTAGCCGTTTAATTAATACGTCTGTTGCCAGATCATTATTTGAATTATGGATATTGTTTAACTTCTGTTTATTATTTTTTTTTTTTACCCGCTTTCCAAGAAATGCAAGACTTAGCGGTATGGATATTATATACAATCACAGGTGCTTAAAATGCATAACTTAATTATGGTAAATGTTTTTGGCAAACTGGGATAAGAAACAAAATAACCATGTGAAATCCGAGGCACGTGCACTATGTTTGAATTATTTATGTAAAATGGACTTTTACAGTACCTTGGTAAGACTGGGAAGGTAGTTGAACTCGTACTACACGTGGTGAAAGTGAAGTTTGAGGATGGGAAAAAGTAAGTAATTTTTACTGTCAAGAAAAATAAACCTGCGTTACCTGTATATCTAGTGCTGTACATATGTATGTATGTATGAAAGAAAAACAGATTTTAAGTTGAAATGTCATTGCATAAATGAAATTGTCTATTGTTTTTGATAGAATGCATTTTATTCAATAAGAAATTAACAATTGGTACATACGAGTATGACATAAATTAATGTACCATGCTCATATCAGTATCTTGCAGCATTTCCACTAAAATAATTTTATTATCAGTGAGGTATATTGTCTGCGCAGTGTTCAAACGGATTATACAAAATATAATGACATGTTTGACATTGTGCATGGATTACTTCAAATGGACACGTACGTGTATAACATCAACAACGTCGTGTTCTTCTTCTACTAGTATGTTTCTTCGTCGCCAGGTGGAGCTTCAATCCGGCAATGCTCAAGAAGGTCCAGGGTGAGGTGTCACCGTCCAGTCGGAGGGATAAAAACAAAAGGAGTGCCATGAGGGCTAGACAGGTTGCTTGCCACTTTAAGCGGATGGACATTGTCCAGATTGCAGAGGACGAGGAGCTGGTCAAAACGCTACAGAAAGGACATGGGGGATGGAAAGATAAGATGAAACATGTGAGTTTGGTTTTATTGCCGTCAGTACCACATTTGTGCCTTTACAGAATCGTAATATTCCTTTTCATGGATATTTAAATGGTATTTTTTACTCTCATTTCCCTTTTTCCCCGAGATTCCAGATATTATCTCATAATTCTGCACAATTTCATTTATATATTTAAATTCAACGTGTTTGATACAACCAAAGCTAAAAATAGCAATATGGTTATTTCAAAACGTGTTATTTTTGTCCACTAAACCAAGTGAAAACAGAAACACTACAGGTACAGTTTCAAAGTTTTCAAAGTGTCAGTCGAGACAAGAAACTTTGATGTTAAGTCCACTCCACCCCCTTCACTACCGCTAAACACTTAAACTCTCGCACGCACACGCACGTTACGGAGAAACCATTTGCTATTGAATGCAAAGATCTTGGTGACCGTCGGTAGGTAGACCATATGCAACTAATTTGTGACGACGACAAAAGCCAATACATGTAAGTTTACTTACCCCATACTTATTATTGTAGTGTATTGAGTGTATTGTGTGTAAAAGAGACAAACCGCACGACTCGCCCACATACTCTGCGTCCTTT